ATATATGTGTTTAAATTAGATTTTTCCTAAGAATTATCCTATCATGCACATAACCCAACATAAATTAAGAAGAGTATCACCTTTTTTTTAGTGAAATACATACTCTACCCATGGTTCTCATAATAAATAAAACAATTTAGGACTCCATCTTCATGGTATGTTTTCTTTAGGGTTCATAGGCTGCAATGCCTTTTCATTTTTTTCAATGTTGATACCTTTTTATATAATGTAGAGGTTTTTTTTCAGTTGTAACAAGATATTTGGGGAGATTTACGAAAGCTGCTGCACTCAGAATATGATGCAGCTGTGCATAGTAACCAATCAGCTTCTAGGTTTTATAGTCAAAGCTTAATAGAACAAGCTGAACTAGATTCTGTGTGTGCCAGTTTTAGTAAATATCTCCCATTGTAATTTTGTTTCATAACTTAAATGTATACATGACATAATGAAGATTTGGCAAGATATTGTAGGGCATGGTCTTAAAACGTAAAGCAGAATTCAAGACAAAAATGCTAAATAAATACTTTTTAATCTAGTATTGCGATAATTATAAAAAAAAATCTATTTTTAAACAAAATCCTGGTTCTCTGCTATATTAAACATTTTCAGTACTTTATTGCATATTGCTCATCATTTTAAAACATTAGGGTTCATTTACTAAAGGAGCAGAGCATGTTGAAAGTGAATGTTCACATATCTAAGTAAATAAGGTGAAACAAAGTAAAAGTTTAATTTGCAAAGAATATCAATCATGTACAAGGAAAATAAAAAAGTGGATTCTTGATTGCACATGATTGGATGGTTTAAGTCAACTTTTCTGGCTAACAGAGGCAATAGCATGCATCTTGTAGTATCTACTCTTAGACAGAATTTTAGTTTAAAAAGTTTAAAAAATGACCGAAGAGGTTTGCATTAATAAATATCTTTAAAAATCCCATGATACTATATTCTTGATGTTATAGTTAATGACTTGGCAATTATTTCACATTCTGTGACATTCCTGCCCATTGTAGGTGAACTTGTCTTCTAAGAACTAAAATTAAAAAAATAGATCAATACATCAATATCTACTGTATGTTTATCTTTTTCTGCTTAGTCAGATAGATATCAATTTCTCTGGAAAATTAGCAACATTTCTCTTATAGCTGTTGAGTATTCATAGAGAAAATGTCCCAAGCATTATCATTGTTTTGGATATAATAATGCAACTCTTAACATGTATGTTAAAGAAAAATATTTTCTTACAGATGTAGAATAATGAGGTTGTACTCTTGTCATGTTTTTAATCTTAAACGATAAGCATAAGGATTTTTACAGATAAAAAAAATGTGCATTTATTATTTTTTGTTGCAGGAGGCTGTGATTTGCTAATCCCTGGTGCAATGCAGGTCTCCCGCGGACATGCCAGTATATCTGCTTGCCCGCACAGGATATACACGACAGCGGCTGCAACATTGGGAACATGTTACACCTTCCACCCTAAAAATGGGTGGAACATGCAACATGTTCCCAAAGGTGAACTTATCCCTTAATCATTAAACAACCAACAATCTTTTGCCCACAAAATGTTTACCACATCAATTAATATAGAAACATGAAAAAGACGGTACATTATTATACAATGCTAAGAATAAAAAAGATACATAGATAAAGCGAGCCATGCTAAAACATACACAGAAAGGTTAGAAACAATTAAAAATCAGCCAAAACAATCACATTATTTGCCCAAATACACTAAGAGCTATCTGGGAAACCTTCAATGAGTTCTAGGCTGGTATAACCTAGGTTACAGCAAAATATGTATTGCCAAAAAGTTATCGTGTTAGATTAAAACCATATAGAATGACAAATGTTAACTTCTTGGCGCCTGCCCACATTACATCTACTGCGAGTGGGCAGCAGCTACAGGCTAGGCAATGTACCTGTACATAATCTAGCACATCCTCACTAGCATGCCTCCTGCAGACTGTGAGTACCCAGAGTATGATGTGATCGCTATGACCAATGATTTTATGCAAGCAAACTGTCATGAACAGCTCTGCTTACTGTTGTGATGCTGTGACTGGCACCCTGTTGGTGGTAAAAAAAAAAAAAAGTTTTTAAAAATTGAATGAAAAATGACATGCTGTCATAATTCAGTACCCCCAAAAACTCCCACACCAGCCATATGATGATGCTGTACTGCACTGGTGACTGTATGTAAAACAAATGTGAAAAAATAAAATGTCTTCATTTTCCAAAACATTGTGACACAAAATTACAACTTCAAAAAAACTTTCCATGCCTCTTACTAAATACCTTTGGCTGTCTACTTTCCAAACAGGGGTCATTTGGGGGGTATTTGTGCTGTCCTAGTATTTTCAACCCTCAAAAAATCAGATCGTCAGTACATCAGGATTGATCAATTTTCAAATATATATCCCATAGTTTGTAGACTCTATCATTTTCACACAGACTAAAATTTAATTTGGGTACAGTGTTGCATGACCAAATGATTGCCAGCTGCAGTTGCACAGTGCTCAATAGCAAAAAATGCCCTAGTCATGAAGGGGGGTAAAACCTTCTGGATGTGAAGTGGTTAAATGTTCTTAGATCTATCCTGATAAAGTGGCAGCTGCCACAATACATATGGAGACACCTTCACACTCTACAATTTTCTTGCACCTTGGAAGACCCGAAGAGGCATCTTCCTCCTAACAATTATGTTCATAGATGATTACTTTAGATAATGTTAATTGAACTGAATGCACAAGAACAGAAGATAGAGGATAAACTAAGGCATGTGTAGCACATCCTGTGTATATATAGGTTTTCTAGACCCTAAAATATAGCTCGACATGAGAACCAAGTTATTGAGAAGGTGACCTTGGCTGTCTTCTTCTCTTAAGGTGGGTCCCTGCACCTGCTGCTTACTGCCCCATAACAGGAGCCATCTAGCATTCCCCTGCTGCAAGCTTACCTGTGATGCCTCCTTCCTCCTCCTTTACTTGGAAACAACTCTATTTGAAGACTCCATATGCATCAGCAAAATAAGTAGATGCCTAATGTCAAGAAAAACAGCACACAGCACACCTCATTTATATTGGGTGTAAATACACAGATGAAAATAGCAGACCCCAGCTTCTTCACACATTTCTTGTGCCTCCCACACCCTTCTCTGCTTTGTTGTGCACAGTGATCTCCTGTCAGACAATAGCAGTATAGCCCTAGCCAAGAGTTGCCAGATGCAGAGTAACTCTTGGGGTGACAGACTGTGATTATATGGAAGGGGCACAGGACATAGTGGATGGAGCTTGACACCAGGAGAGGCATTCTTGGAAATATACACACAGCAGTGTTGGGTATTTGGGACATGGGAAATGCCAACTTATGGCCTGTGTAGTAATGTGGACAATAGAAGAGACTGCCAGAGGGGGAGAAGCTGGGACACACTGGAAGTAACTATGAAATACTCACTTCCCCCCCATTCCCACCACCTAACACCACACCAGACACTACATCTGACATTGCCTTATATTACACCCCCTGGTTTTTCACTACCTACCACCCAACCAAACACTCCCACTCTCACTACCTATCACTGCTGCTGCCCCCCCCCCCCCCCCCGGTCTCAAAATATTACCCAGCCAATCTTACACCACCTACAAGTACATAAGGCAACCCCCACAATGTAATTACTTAGCACTGTGCTTTTGCCAAGAACCACAAAGAATCATACCAGCCATTCTACTCACATCACCTATGACCTCTGCTTTCACCTACAACTGCACTTGGCACCAACCAATATCCAAAAAAAAGTAAAAGTAAATGATAACTGACATTCTCCCACTGCAATCTCACTCTAACTTACCACTTTACCCCAGCTTCCCAATGTCTCTAGAACAACCCTGCTATGTACCTGCATGATACCTACAGCAATAAAATCGGTGGACTTGACTAAAGGCTAAACTAAAGGCTCCACAACCTTTATCTGTGACCTCACTCCACCCCCCACTCATACATCTGAATCCCCTTGCCACCCCCTCCACTATGCCCCCCCCCCACTGGACTCACACAGCTTGCTCATTAGCCGCCATATATTATTAACTACTTGCGCTTCAGAAGGTTTTATCCCCTTCATGACCAGACCATTTTTAGCTATTTAACAAAGTGCTACTTTAACTGGCAATTGTGTGGCCATGCAACACTGATGAAGTTTATATAATTTCTTTCACATAAATAGAGCTTTCTTTTGGTGGTATTTGAGTGTCATTATTTTTTTTTAAATTTTGTACTATATAAATGAAAAAACATTTTAAAAAACCAATGTTTTCTACTTTTTGTTATAAAACATATTCAATGGACCCATTTCAAAAATCAAATTCCTTTATAAATTTATGCCAGAATGTTTTCTGCTACATGTTTTTGGTAAAAAAAACAAAACAAAATAAGTGTATATTTATTGATTTGTGTGAATGCTATAGTATCTACAAACTATGGTATATAAAAATATTGGCCAATTCTGATGCACTGATGGCCTGTCTCATTTCTTGGAGCCCATAAAAAGCCAGGACAGTACAAATACCCCACAAATAACCCCTTTTTGGAAAGTAGACAGTTCAAGTTATTTAGTTAAAGGAATGGTGAGTTTTATGAAGTTGTAGGGTTTTTTTACAATTTTTTGGAAATATTAGGAAATTAAATATACCATATTTTCCGGCGTATAAGATGACTTTTTTTACTTAAAAACATACCCCAACAATTGGGGGTCGTCTTATACCCCAGGTATAGAACCGCTGGATGTGCGGTAATACTGTACGGTAGCTTCAGCTACATACAGTGTACCGCGCTGAGCCAATCACGGCGAGCGATGTATTCTATTAATGAATACAGAGCCTGCTCGGATTGGCTGAAGTTGTGACATCATCAGCCCGCCTCTCTGACGCAGCCAATCCGAGTAAGCTCTGTATTCATTAATAGAATACATCACTTGCCGTGATTGGCTCATATGACGTCCTCCCATTCTCCGTGCATGCGCGGCGATGCGCTGTGTCTCTCGGACACAGTGGATCACCGATCACAGAAAGAGCCTAAGATGTCAGCTCGGTCATGTGATCAGCTGTGTCCAATCACAGCTGATCATATGTAAACAGGGAAATGCCGGTTATCGGCATTTCTCTCCTCTCGAGCTGTCACGCTGACAGAGGAGAGGAGAACCGGTAATCGGCTTGCCACGGAGGGGACATGCACACTGATCATCAGGGCACTGATGATCAGTGTGCCCTGATGATCAGTGTAGCCGCAGCAGTGCCACCTGTCAGTGTCCATCAGTGCCAGCTGTCAGTGTCCATCAGTGCCACATCAATGCCACATATCAGTGCCTACAAGTGCACATTAATGCCACATATCAGCACCCATCTGAGCTGCCTTTCAGTGTCACCCATCAGTGCCAGTCAGTGCCACCTATCAATGCCAATCAGTGCCACCTATCAGTGCTGCCAATCAGTGCCACCTGTTAGTGCCAGTCAGTGCCACCTATCAGTGCCATGTATCAGTGCTGCCTTTCAGTGCCCATCAGTGATGCCTGTCAATGCCCATCAGTGCCACCTATCAGTGCTGCCAATCAGTGCCACCTATCAGTGCCAGTCAATGCCACCTATCAGTGCCAGTCAGTGCCGCCTATCAGTGTCACCTATCAATGCCAGTCAGTGCCACCTAATAGTGCCAGTCAGTGCCGCCTATCAGTGCCGCCTATCAGTGCCATGTATCAGTGCCATGTATCAGTGCTGCCTTTCAGTGTCCATCAGTGATGCCTGCCAATGCCCATCAGTGCCACCTACCAGTGCCTCCTCATCAGTGCCCATCAGTGCCACCTATTTCATAAGGGTACAGTGTTGCATGACCGCGCAATTGTCATTCAAAGTGTGACAGCGCTGAAAGCTGAAAATTGGCCTGGGGGGGAAGTGGGTATAAGTGCCCTGTAGGCTAGGGGTTAAATGGTGTTGCCTCAGAAGGGGGGTAGTCTTATACGATGAGTATAGCCCAAAACCTATGTTTTGTTTGGAAAATTAGGGGGTCGTCTTATACACCCAGTCGCCTTATACACTGGAAAATACGGTAATTTGTTTCACAATTTTTTTTACATTCTGTCACCAATGCAGTACAGCTTCTTCATATGACTGGTGTAATTGTGATCAGGGATATATACTTTTAAAGTGGTAGTAAACTGAAGAATTAGATAATCTGCTGACAGGCAGGTCATAAATGTTCCCCCTGTTTGTCAGCATGTAAAGTTATCTGAGCCGCACATACGCAGCTCAAATCCCATTTATGGCCAACTCCATGTGCCACGTTGATGTGACTCCTGTGCGCATGTGACATCACCTCGACCTGGTCATTCAAGCAGCCAATGATACCAAACCCGGAAGGAAGACCAGGTGAACATGGAAGTTACTGGGGAGAGCCCTGACAGCATAGCACTGGAGGGCTCCATTTGTGGGTAAGTCTGTAATGATGTATTAGTAAGCAGTGCATACTAGTACATTATGATTTAAACCTGCAGGGTGAGCCTTTTTTTCATTTATTTCAAAGACCTTACTACAGCTTTAACATTTTTTTTAAAAAATGTACTATTTTTTACACACTTTCATCAGATTAGGGATTTTTTTTATTTGACACTTTGATTTGCTGTTACTGCAATGATCACTGTAACAGCAATGCTTTACACTGCCACGAATGGGTTACATTCATAATAGCTGTAATTACTATGTACTACGTGTATGCTGTGATTAGCCTAGGTACCATGTGATAGCTGTGGGCAAATCACGGCATCACTATAGGAATCACAGCTGTTATGAATTCTTAACAACTTGATCATGTGATCGCCTGGCAGTCACATGATCCCCAGCCAATCAAAGCAATCAGAAACCAGGAGCCACAATCCTCTGTGTCCTTTGGAAACAGGGGTCACATGTGCAGTGTGCTGAGCACCCGGGGCGCGTGTTACTGCGCAACTGCTAAGCGACGTACAGGTACAATGTTTACCCTGTAGCTCCTGCCCTCCCATAGTATACTATATGTACAGTGGATGGTCGGCAACTGGTTAAAATATAGCAACCTTTTAATAGCTTGGTTAAAATATTAGAATAACTTCTCTTCTTTTCCAAGTAAACTGCTTAGTTCAGAATATATGATCAAAGGCTGTAATTATTTTCTAGTAAAAGTATTACAGAGATGCTGTTGCAATTCTGGCACTAACTCAGTAACACTGAAGGAGTAATTATGCAAAATAATTAGCCTCTATAATATGCATTATGTAAATATGTTACTACATATTTAGTGCTTGAAAGGTGATGAAGATAAGATAATGAATGCTGACATGTTAAAAAAAAAATAATACATTTCAAGACTAGTGTTCTGCAAGCAAGAGCATAAACAACATGGCTATTTGGAATGTAAATCTTCAAAACAGAGCCAATATGCTTTTAGTCCACTTGCATAAAATGTGATAGGCTAGAAGCTGATAACTCACATAAGCCAACAGAGGACAAGTATTGATTCCCAGGTCTGTAATCTGTGAGCTAGTGTAGATAAATTCCAACAGGCTTGCAGCATTGCATTGAATTAGGGATGGTTTGGTAATGATAAATGAGAAAAGGATTCCATCAATGAATGTCTGCTAAAAAAATAGAGCCTGGGCAAGTCACCCACAACTTTAACCCCTTGAGTTCCTTAAACATGGTAAAAAAAAACTACTTTGGAATAAGGATCAAGAGAAACATTTCTAAATGCATTTCTTACGTGAAACTTTGTAATCTTTAATCCCAAATTAAGAGTTCCAGGATGTCAAGGGTATTTTGTACAGTGACAAAAATAAATGGAGATAGATATTAACATTTGATGCAGAACTAGAACAGTATTTTTCTGGTGTAAATACTCTGAAATTGTTAAAATTGTGCGTGCATGCATGCATGCATACTTCAAATCTGTATTACCTTTTGCTTTATCCTTAGTTCATATTATCCATAGGCCATCTTGTAGAATCTGTTCAAGAGCATTAGCAAAAGGTGATAAAAGCTGATTGTAGAAGCATGAAAAATCGAACAGATTCCTCTATCCGCTCAGTGTGGATGGATGCATCACCCCTGCCAGCTGTCAGAATACCCAAACAGTGACTATATCTGATTGAATGTTAACAATTTTCTGAGAGTCCCTTTAACAAAAATCAATTGGACTTTGTCAATTGTCTAATGGAGCAGTGCCAGCAGGCTCATATACAGTTCAAAGTTTAGCTAAGTCTGTAGGAATCGACCATAATTTGAGCAGTGTATGGTTAGCTTTAAGTGGTTGCAAAGGTAAAAGCTTTTTTTATTTTAATGCATTTTCTGCTTTAACTGCCTCCCGCCCGCCATAAAAGGTAATGACGGGCGCAAGGTGGTTCTCTGGTTCTGGGAGGACGTCCCAGGACGTCCTCGCTTTCTGTCTCACGGACACAGCGGCTCAACAATCAATGGAAAGAGCTGAAGATGTCGGTTCAGTCATGTTAACAACTGTGTCCAATTACAACTGATCACATGTAAAGAGGGAAATGCCAGTTATCAGCATTTCTCTCCTCACGAGCTGTCACGCTGTCTCTCCTCACGAGCTGTCACGAAACGCATCAGGAGACCCTCCCTGTCCATGGATTACTGACTTGCCATATTCTGTGTTACTCATGGATGTAAGTGTCCATTTTTTATTGTGTTTTATGACTGTTACTCCTTATTTTTAATAAATACTACACTATTGGAGCTTTCTCTCTCTTTTGGGCTCGTTTTTTGGAATGCTCTGAGCCCCCCCCCCCCCCTCACTTCAAGGTACACCATAGTAGGCGACCCACATTTAAGTATATCATCCCCCCGGTGGCTGAAATCGGTACTACAAGATGCATCTAATCTGATGAATATACATTATATTGGAATGAGGAAATCTGCCCTGGTCTGATGACATCTGGTGACTCAACTCCACCTGACGACTTCACCTGTTTGCAGAGTTCCCGCTTTCAGAGCACCTTGGAGTAGGTCTTATTTACTCCAACGCACATAACTTTGTGCTATCTGGTTAGTGCATTGTATACTCATTCTTCACAAGCCACGGAAGTCACGATAACCCAACTGTCATCTAGCGAACCACGATTATCACATTGCACCTTTTTAATTATTGTTCCTAAGACTTTTTACTTATTTATGCATTTTTATCTGTACATCTTAGCGCTGCATTCTCATTTGATTATTTAGGTAAGTATAATATGTTTGTTATTTTTAACAAAGCCTTTACAATCACTTTAGGTTGCTATTAACCACATGCCGCCCAGCCACTGTAGAAATATGACGGCAGGGCGGCACGGCTGGGCAAAAGCACATTTTAAAATGTGTGTTTTTAAAACAGGTAGGGGGCACACGCGAGGCACGCCGCCGCCCTACCTGTCCCGCCGATCACAGCCACGGATGTCAATCGCTGGGTCACAGCCGGTCGTTACCGGCTATGTCCCGGCGATCGGCGGCAATCGCTGACAGAGAGCACAGCTGCAGTAGCTGCAGTAGCTCCAAGACACGCTGATCGGGACAGAAGAGTTTCTCTCTCCCGATCAGTGGTGCTCCCTGCAGTACACACCCCCGCCCGCTAGTAAAACACTCCCCTCACACAATTAACCCTTTCCCTGAATAATAAACTTAACCCCTTCCTCCCCAGTGCCATTAGTACAGTGTCAGTGGTTTTTTTTTTGCACTGATCACTGTATTGGTGTCACTGGGGATGTCAGTGACCCCAAGTCAGTACCCCCCAATGTCAGAATGTCCGCCGCAGTCCCGCCATAAGTCGCTGATCGCCGCCATAAGTAGCTGATCGCCGCCATTATTTGTATAAAAAAAAACCTAAAAATCCCAGTATCTTTCCCTCCATTTGTAAACGCTATAACTTCCATGTAAACCAATTAATTTACACGTATTGGGTTTTTTTTTTTTAGCAAAGACATGTCACAGAATGCATTTTGGAAGAAATGTATGACTAAATTTGATTTTTAAATTTTTTTTTACTGGACATGTTTTATAGCAAAAAGTCCAAAATATTATTTTTTTTCCTCAAAATTGTCAGCCTGTTTTTTTATAGCACAAAAAATAAAAACCGCACAGGTGATCAAATACCACCAAAAGAAAGCTCAATTTGTGGAAAAAAAAGGATGTAAATTTCATTTATGTACCGTTTTGCATGACCGCTCAATTGTCCGTTAAACTAGCGCAGTGCTGTATAGCAAACAAATGGCGTAAATTGCAGTATCTATACCATAGTTTGTAGACGCTATAACTTTCACACAAAGCAATCAATATACGCTTATTGGGATTTTTTTTACCAAAAACATGTAGCAGAATACATTGTGGCCTAAATTTATAACCAATTTTGAGTTTACTATATATTTTTTATAGCTGAAAGTAAAAAATATTGTTTTTCTTCAAAATTTTTGGCCTTTTTTTGTTTATAGCGTGAAAAATAAAAAGCGCACAGGTGATCAAATACCACCGAAAGAATTAGTGCAGCGCTGAGTA